GAGTAGTAGGGATATAAAGTAGACGATAGCGCAGGGTCGAGTCGCCTTCAATAAAAAGAACTCACTTCTATGCTCGCGAACGGTTAATTCAAAAATTCGAAAAGGTTGTTAAAGGTGTATGTTTTGGAGAGCGGCGCTGTACGGGTGCGAAACATAGGCAGTGGGCGCGGCGGAAAAGAAGTTAAGGATTAGTTAAAGATGAAGGTTGTTCTAGTTTTAGGGAAATACGAAGATTAGTTCAGGATAGGAAGGGGTTAAGGTGCATGTCCAATCAGTCTTAGGACTGACGACCTTATGATAATGACATAAAAAAATATATATTTTTCACTGATTTCTTGGCTGGTAGAATATGAAAAGTTTTGTAATATTAAAGAAATAAAATCACTATGATTTCTAAAGTTTTAAATGTTACCTGTCGATAATTCCCTTCGACACATTCTTAACCAGAGGTCTCACCATTCTTTCGGGCTCTCAATGTTTTCGTTAAGATTGATATACCAACTAGCTACAAAAATTGTAACAATTCGACCATACTGATATAATAATTCTTATTCATCGGAAAAAGTAAAGACAAGAACTACATCGAAATAACAAATAATTTAGTGTAGTAATCAATAAATAATACAAATTAGGATAAACTACCTATTTCAATATACAATTTTAATTACCAATTTTCATCAGGTTGATTTTTTGTTATACATATTAAATTAGTTATTGCTGGTGTTTTTTTTTTCTAATTAATAGTGGTGTTTGCAGCTGCGAAGATTGAGTATGATTCATATTTTTCTGTTTGAAGTGATTGTGATACGGTTTCTCAATTTTTATGTTATAAGTAGTTTCTTCAGTTCAGCAACTAATAATTCTTCTATGTGCTTCCTTATTTACCTTTATCACTCGTTTTAATTGGGACACTGATACCAAAATATAGTAGTTTGTTTATCGTAAAAGATCGGAGTCAAAAAGAGTTGCAAATAATTTCATTAATGATGATAATGATCAACATCAATCATTTTATATCATAATATTTACAACCCAATTCTGTTTCTGATCTCTTACACATTGTTATGAGAAAAATAAATGGAATCTATAGTTTCTTTGGCTTTGAGTTCATCTAATAAGTGAGTTTTTCGAATCGTTTTCTAAGAATTTTGGATTATAGGAATTATTAGCACACCACAATATCTTGTAGTTTTCAGTTATACACGGTTGGCATATATCATTTGATTTTTTTTTCTGTTTTGTCGTAATTCATAAAGTTTCGTAGTTTCTTGCTAAAGGTACGATAAGTGGTGATTTGGCAGGTGCTGATATTAATTTGGAACTTCAAAATTCCATGGACCATGACATTGAACCCGGAAAACAATATCGATCCAATATTTTAGATTATCTATTTTCAAGTTTAGAATTTTTTAGGCTCTTTTCAGTTAAAGAATTGTAAGGCATTCATGGAATATCTCTTTGTCTCCTTTTTAAGCTTCTAATACCTTCAATGGCCAATATGAGCAACATTAACTCATCATTTTATGTAGTTTGATCCATGATACTAGCAAAACTATTAACGGTAAAAGTAGATTTTGTATTTTACAAATAGAAAATACGTATGGAAAAGTATTTTAAATAAAATACAAAATGCTTTTCTCAAAAAAGTATTTAAATGCAAGATAAAAATAGGTACTTATTTTTTATTTTGTATTTGTATTTTAAATGCATACATTTCAAATTAATCAACGTCAATTGATCAACATTAGCTTAATTTTTTTTTTTTCGTCAACCGTTTTATTAATATGATAGCTTATGATGGCCAACTTTTTGGTCATAAACCGATCTATCGATTGATTCACTTATTCACACGAAAGATAGCATTGCTTTTATGGGTTTTATGCCGATTGGTGTGAGATTTGATTAAAAACTGCTGAGTTGTATGACTTCAAAATCGCCCATTTATCCTATCTATCACTTTCTGTACTTACAAAAGTTAATTAAATGCCTCAAATAATCAGTGTTATAATTTTCTCTTTTACCACAATGTTTTAAGAAAATTTAATTGTCTAAATTGATAAACTTTCAGCAAACAGGACACAGAATGATCCTGTATGCCCATAATAATAATTGCTATATCAGAAACCCAATTCAATTTAGTTAAAGATCAAAGTTCAACGATTGTTTGCGTAGTTTCTTCGAACCCATATAGCAAATTAATGACATTAAGAAAGGGTCCAACGATTTAGTACTTAATTTCAAGGAATTAATACTGATTATAATGTTGGGCCAAACTCCTACTTAGAAAGGATTTAGAACTTTTTTTTGCAAAAATAATTAAAGCAGTTGTCAATCATTTTTAGTAAACTTATAAAACAAAACGTTTTTATCTTTTGATATTATACGACAACTGTCAACTTTACATTAGTATCTAGTAATTGTCTGCGTATTGAATTAATAACAGAGTCTTATTTTTTGTAACATTTACTTTGTCATGTGCATGGATCAGACATTGCAAAATAATTAAGATCGATTTAAGATAAATCGCGTTCTTTCATAACTAAATTGTGAGTGGTATTAATAAGGTTGATTTTACGCAATAAGCTTATTAACTTTCTAGAATCTTCGTACCATAAATATTTTGAAGTATACCTAAACTCCATATAATACAGCAAAAACAAAGCTTATCATGTAAAAGTAAAACATCTCTACTTAGAGAGTCATTTTTATAAAGTAATACGCAAACATGAAGATTGTCATTATACACATGTTTCCAAAAGAATTATTGTTTCTAAGTGTTTGCATTAAACAGATTTAATATGATGTAACCTGTGGCTTTCCTACATAATTCCTTCAATCGCTTCCAGGTTTAGTCAGTACAAAATTACTTGAAACTTTTTACGTTTTTCATGTCTATTTAAATTATGACAAGTACATAATTTACGCAAAAATGATAAATGAAATAAAACTTCACCACAACTACGAACAACTTAGACTTTGCTAAGGAAATGACGCAACTTTATCTGACACAAATTAATTTCTTGAATGTATTTTTCTTTATTATCGGTTTATGAACAAAGTTTGTACCTACGTGGGCGGTTCAATAAGTACTCGTGTTAGAAATGAAGACACCTTTTTTTAAAATTTGTTTTTTTATTTTTCAACATAGTCCCCTTTTAGAAAGATACACTTCTCCCAACGACCCTGCCATTTTTTTAACCCTCCAAAAAATAAGATTTGTCGAACTCTCCAAAATCCCCCCCTGTCTCGGCGATGACTTCCTCGTTTAAGCTAAATTTATTTCTCGCTAGTCATTTCTTCATGGTAGGGAACAAGATGAAGTCGCAGGGAGTCAAATCGAGCGAGAACGGGGTGTGCGGCAGCAAATTCATAACGTAATTCATGCATTTTGGCGGCAACAACTCCTGATGAATGTGCCGGTGCGTTATCGTGTTGAAAACGCACCCTCTTTTTCGTCAAATGCGTCCGTGTCTCCTTCAATTTTTTGTCGAAGCGGTCCAATAACTCACTGTAGTATTGTCCAGCGATCGTTCTTCCTTTTCCTAAAAAATCCGTGAAATGATTTCCTCGGTAACAACGTTTGCCAGGCTTCCTGGTCGCTCCTATCAAAGACGGATCTTTGCCCACGTTGAAATTCGTTGAAGCAATATCTAACTGTGGTCGTAGATGGCGAAATGTCTCCATAAACAGTATCCAACTTTGTTTTCATCTCCCCTCATTTTTTCCCATCCAAAAACAAAAAGCGAGCTACTGAACGATACTGCTCTTTTTCCATCTTAGCGAAAATAACGAAACACGTCTGAGTGGAATGACTGCCAAATCCAAACTAACCTATCAATCAGTCTGAAATTCGTTTTGACGTGGTTTGATAGATGGCAGCACACGATGACAACACCAATTTCCCTCAGAAACGTCCTCTGTCTTCAAATACGGATACTTATTGAACCGCCCTCGTACTTCGATGGTAACTACTACAACTAAAGTTGCATTTACGGTCTTGAATTGATTTATTGCGACGTAAACTTTAAAACACATTGATAGCGAATGAACCAGGACTCCAACATTGGGCATCTACAAGAGTATATGTAGTAGATATACAATTACGAATGTAATCCGTTACTAGAACTTGTAAAATACTTATATACCTTCGCAGGTGTGGTACACGTTATGTCATAACACGAGATACTAAATCTAGGCGAGTGAAAGTCGTTGGAGCAGCTCGAGATTTTGATCGATAAAGACGTTTCCTTGTGCAAAACCCAAAGTTTTTATCCAGTCTTAAATCTGCTTTTGCAAAGGTGATTTTTTCCGCGGGTCAACATGCTCAGATATTTCAGCGTCTTACTTATTTTCTCCGTCGAATGTGTCAGACTGTCTTCCGGGTTTCCTGATGGCGCCCCTGTCGATGTGTGCGTCAAACCTAAACCTAACCGGCCTAATCACAGCGGTGCTAAGCCTCAACCCGCAGATACCAACCCCTACACTGTCACAGCTTCCGATAGTTACTATAGACCTGGAACTCAAATAACAGGTTTGGAGCACTTTCTTATTTCATTTTTAATTTATGTAGTTCTACTATCTAATTTTTCGAATAAAGAGTAGAATTAAAATCTGTATCAAATATTATTTTCTTTTTAGAATGGTGTTAACGTTAAAGAATTTGTTTTAAATGAAAATATACAAGACGAAATCCGTTTATACGTTTCCAATTGAAATACATTATATTAATATTTAATTGAGCGTGAAGAGTTCCAGCTGAAACCCAAAAAGGGAAGATTTTTAATATTTAATTGTTTTAGCAATTCGCTGAAATTATTAATTTAATACCTTATTAAATAATAATGGGAACAAACGTGTATCATAATCAACACCGTTCATGAAATAATTATACACAAAAAGGAATAATAGCGACTATTATAGATATTCTTGTACATTCACTGGTTACTCTTTATCAATTAATATCTGGTCATAATGGCAATATGTTATGTGAAACAGTCTAGAAACAAGAAATGCTGTGTGCGGATAATTGTCGCTTTATAATAATTTTTAACATTTACTTTTATTGACAGTTCTGACCTTCCATTCATATTCATTATAGAAATAACCATGTAATATAATTTTTTATTGAGTTTATGGATAAATTTAAATGCTAGGTAGATACTGGTTGCTCAAGAGCAAATTACTGGAAATTGAGACCGTTAAGGGTAAAACATTTTTGATGGCAATATTTCAAATAGTCTAGACAAACTTCTGATAAAACAAACGAAGATAATTCAGGCATTAACGAGTTTTTAATTTAAAGAAAACTCCCAATAGTTTTTGTAACAGCTATTCGTTAATTATTTTGAGTAATAAGAATAAATTTCTTGAACAATTATGACTTTTGTTTTCCTATAAGTACTTCAGGTAAAAACAAAATTAATTAAAAACTATAGTGTGGTAAAGTCTACAATGATGAACGATTTAAGAAATTTTCTTCCAAAACGCAATTAGGACAGTACTTTTAACAAACATTCTAATTTAATGAGAACCTTTACTCTCAGAATCAATTGTTTTTCGAGTTGCGATATATAATGTAATGTTCGTGGGTTTAACAAAATTAACTTCTAATACTGATAACGACAAAAACTGTTTTTTTACACTAATTATTAAAGAACTGAAAAACAGCATTAAATTATTACTAAACATAGGTTATGAATTATTCTATTTATTTACTCTACTGTTGATATATCAGTATTCACTGCGCTATTTATTTCACTTCTGTCACTGTCAATTTATTTCTCCTTTTCACTTCTCCAACGGTCTTCTCGCCGATCGTCTCTTCCTTTAAATACTCTTTTGTTTACTTTCTGGAACCCTCTAGAAACATCCGGATCGTTTATTTTTTCTTTGAACTGTTTAACTGTTTTCCCAGAACGCAGGTACGACACACACATTTACAAATACGGCGCATATGAATAAAGGCGTCCGCGGCGATTAGATAAGCCGTTAACGCACACGTGTGCCCGATCGCATACAAACACACTCGTGCTCGCTACAATAAGTTACATGTTTTAGAATGTTGGCAATGATTAGCTAAGGTTGATGAAGATTTCTCAATTATATATTTCTATTAATAACAATCGCCTGTCGCAATTACTTCATAATAACAAAATAACATGCAAAAAATAACGATACTTCTATGTTAATTATATTAATTTTATTTTTGTATCGTTTAATTGCTACTGAACGATACTGCTCTTTTTCCATCTTAGCGAAAATAACGAAACACGTCTGAGTGGAATGACTGCCAAATCCAAACTAACCTATCAATCAGTCTGAAATTCGTTTTGACGTGGTTTGATAGATGGCAGCACACGATGACAACACCAATTTCCCTCAGGAACGTCCTTTGTCTTCAAACACGGGTACTTATTGAACCGCCCTCGTA